ACTCAGCCAGGAGTCTGTCATACAGTTACTGAAGGTACCTTATCTTACGCAAAATTATTTTGTTAAATGGACAAATTTTTAAGGTATATTTCTTCAACTACAGTGAATGTACTGTGGTTAGGAACCACATCTATTTTTGCATTATATATTGTTTAACATAGTACCTACAAAGACTGAAGTCTCATAAATATATATTAAATAAATGAATGCAAGAACACTCAGGGATTTAAGAAATAAGGACACTGTCTCATAATCTCAGTTTACAAGTAGCTGTCCCTTGAATATGTTATACTGTTTTGGACGCATCAATATCATAAGAATATGGCAAGCTGGAAAGCATCCAGCAAAAAATTAGAGTGAGAAAGATGATTAAGGAAATGGAAAACCTAACTTGTGAGGAAAGACTTAAAGAGCTGAAAACATAAAAGGGTTGCCTAGATAAAAACTCTGAAGAAATGTGAACAGAGTCCATGCTTTCTTAAAAATAAACAAGAGCTTAGTTTGATCAGTAAAGAGAGTGGAGAAGGACTAAAAGAACATACTGCTGGACCTGCAGAACCCAAGGGTGTTCAAGAAATGGGCTGCAAAAGAATGCTTTCAGGGATAGTTTTCAAATACTATGGGCCCCAAGGTTATCTGGAGTTTTCTTGAGATCAGAGTCTAAGGATTTTTTAGTCTACAATCTTTCCAGAAACCCTTGTTGATCATGGTGGGTGGAAGCGGCCATTCTCACGTTGCTTAATGCAAAATAAATATCCAAGGGAAAACTATTTGTTTCATATCCATTTATCTTATAATACTTGTCCCTTGAGTAAAATATATATGTCATATTTTCAAAGAAATAAAGGTATTTTACAATGACAGCTCAACCACATTTAAAACTATTGGGTTTCCAAAAAATCACAAGGAAAATAAGTTGAGATATTTTAAATACTTGTACAGTGTCAGGTATAGCATGGGCTTTAGAAAAATAGGAGACTGATGCTACTAACAAAGTTACATCACATTATATTATGTAACATATATTAAAAGAAAATCATGCCTAGGATCAACATGAAAAGTTCTCCAAGTTATTAACCAAAACATTCTAGGGTACAATGAATTATAATTTGGTGAAATTCTAGAAGTAAACACAACTATCACTGGTAAGACCACTCAACTTTACAGCTCTGTTTTGTTAATTTAGTTATAATAAAATTTTTCTCCTGAATTTCAAAAATGTCATGAGAAATGACAGAAGGAAGAGAAAGAGGATAGGACTTTTATGGAGCATCTATTACCCTACATTGCATCAATAGGAATGCTCTTGACAAATTATAAAATACTACAGAACTGTAAATCTCGAGGCTTTTGCCTCAAACTCAATGTGAAGATGCTACCAAGCCACAGCCCTACTGCTCAGGCAAAGGCTGCCTTAATTATCTGTGTATTTGTGAAGAAAAACAGGTTTTAAACTCATCTACTGAATTTAGCGTTTTGGTAACATGTTTATTATTACCGTCATGATAATCAATTTCAAAAGCTAGTAATGACAGTAAATCTTCCTTAGGCCTCAGTGAGTCTGACTAATCACAGGGAATTTTTAGAGGACACTTCTCTACATTAAGTGCTTTGTCAGCATTCATAAGTGTATCACTAGTATTCATTCCCAGATAAGTAAATATATTAACCACCCAGAATGGGACAAAAGAACTGCATTCCATCAAGTAATTAAAAACTGATTAAGGATTTAACTCAAAACATCTGACTATGTATTTTAGACATCTTGTATTTTACCTGAAAGTACCTGCTTTTGGTCTGTTTGGACAGAATGCCACCATATTAATTCAGAAATACAAATGATGTCATGACAAAATAAAGAAAAATGCTATACAAAAGGTACTTTATTTTTAATTGGAGAGGCTGACTGCTGATGCTTTATGCTCTTAGTCTCTGTTACTAAAAGACTGTTTTGTTCTGTTTTGTTTAATAAAACTTTGCTTCAAAATAGTTCTAAATTTACAGAGAATTACAAGGATAATAGTTCTTATAAACCCCACACTCCAGTTTTCCCTATTTTTACATCTAACATTAAGCCACAGTAATGAATCAATATTGGTACATGGTTAGTAACTAAAGTTCATTAGTAACTAAAGTCATTTCTCTGTTCCAGCAGCCTATCCCATGATGCTCTATAAGGACAGACTTGATTTTGATGACCTTGTTATTTGGGGGTAACATGGGTCAGGTATTTTGTAAAATACCACTCAAAATTACAATTTGTCTTTTATTCTCATGATTAACTGTGGTTATGGATTTTTGAAAGGTAGAAAAGGAGAGAGTACATTATGTCAAGAGTATCTAGCAAGCAACCAAATTGTAGTCAGCTTTCACTCTTTTCTTTAAAAGAAGTAATTACTGACAACCTACAATTAAGGAATGGAAACTTACAATACACTTCCTTGATTGCTGAGTATTGCAAGAATTATCTGGTGTTCTGTGACATGACAGAAGCATTTATCTCCTCTCCATTTATTTTTGATTAGTTTTTTATTTACATTAGTAAGTACTCATGGATATTTACTTTATATTTTGAATTAAATTCAATATTTTTTTTATTGAGTTGCTCAATTTATTCCATCTTTGGCCATTGGGAGCTGTTTAGGTTATCTTTTCAAATTCCACCCAAGCATCCCTAGTCATTAGTGGCTTTTTCAAGTATCACAATTCTTTGCTTATATCAGCATCACAAGTGAAGGGTTAGAGGTGATAGAGAAACGTGTTTGTCTTCAAATAAAGTTTTCTATAGCCACAATCAACTGATAATACATTCTAAAATAGACCTCTAAGCAACTGTCACAAACTTGACCTTATGTTCTCTACCACAAGAAAGGAACAGCAGAATCATTCCAGCACTTTTTTTCATGACTCATGATTTCAAGTATGAACACATATATCCCTCCAAATTACTTTCAATTACTTATTTTCACATCATTAGTGACTTTTTTTATTTGATGGCTAAGGGAAATAATGTTTTTCTCTTTACTGAAACAACAAACTAAGACATTAAATAATTGTGAAAATCTTTTGGATTTTGTACTAACCTTTCCATGAAATAGTTATGCTTTTAATTCTAATATGAAAATGTCAATTTTCATTGAGTTTTAGTCTACACATATATACAAATTCATCTTGAAATTGAACTGCTTATGAATTATGTAAATTAGGTGTTTGGGATAAATACTCAAAATTTTAAAATATTTCCAGTTAGAATTTAATCATTTAAAACTATTTTATGAGTACTTAGAGGTTTATATTTTTAAGTGTTACATAACTCTCTGAGGAGGCAATTATTCAAACTGATCAATAAAAGATTAGTAGAAAAAAAGGGAAACATTGCACAAAGAAAATATTTTCACACTATCTTTTTATCTACATAATTTTTCATATATTCATACTTTCATATTATGCTTACATTATGAAATATAACAAAGTTTGGTAAAATTGAGAATATTTACTTTGTAACTTATAGCAGGATGAATATCAATGCATTTTTATTAACTATAACTTATTTTTGTGTTCTCTTTCACCTCTTAAGGGTTAAAATGACACTGTGTTAACTGTATTTTTAGTCTTCACATATAAATCATAAAATGTTATAAATTGACAAGAATTTTTCAGTGCCATGAAACCTCAATGTCTTCTTAATATATTTTAGAATACAACCAAACTATCTGTGGGCTTTAAAATAACAGTGAACAGGGCCTCCCTGGTGACGCAGCGGTTGAGCGCTGGGTTGCGAAGCTGCCCGCAGCCTCTCCAGTGCCGGTTCGATCCCCGGCTGCTCCCTGGCCACCGGAGGAGGGTCCCACATGGCGCGCAGACCTCTCCTGCCGCCCGCTGCTTCCCTCAGCAGTGTACTTCGGTCCTTCTGCCTGCTCTGCTCCCCGCTCTAGCTCTGGTGAATTCTCTGGCCCTCCTGCGCTTCTTCTGACTGTACCCAGCGCTTGTATAAATAAATAAATCTTTTTTAAAATAAAATAAAATAAAATAAAGCCATAAGACTTACATTATTAAAAAATAAAAATAAAATAACAGTGAATACATTTTGGTAAAAGATGTGTGGATATAAAAGAACTTACTTAAATCATATGTGAACATATCACTTCAGAATGCCAAACTGTCAGTAGTAGGAAAATATAAATAAGTGGCAATATAATTTCCTGAAAAACCTCATTTGATAACTTTTCTGGAACCAGTACTTTCACTACTACTCTGAGTTTTATGATCTGTCTTGAGAGACAGACTGCCACATTCTTTCAGATAATTTGCTGCATGCCTCTAATGTTGAATTGGAGGCACGCTGAGATGGCTCCTGATTAAGACAGATGTGGCATGAGACCAGCTTTTTTCTTTTTAGATATCTTGGCCAGAAGTCCTCCCTCTCACTCTATTTGGTAATTATAAAATGTCTACTATTGGTCCAAACTTTTCTAACTTTTACCTATCCCAAACACTACCTGGATCTCAGAGTAGCTCAACTACAGCACTTATTCCTCAAGCCCTCTGAGTCACCAATGACCTTCCTTCAAACACGTCCCCAAGCCAAACCTAAGTGTGGCTCTAGGCTTTATTATGAATTCTCTCTGTACACAAAGAGATACTAAATTGAAGAGAAAAACCACACAGTCGTGCCATGGATAGCACTTCAGCTTTATGTTCTTCCACGTTAACCCTAGATGTTATACTTGTCTGTACCTTTGACCTTTCCCTGGATCATCCAAAAGTATTAAATCAGTTTTACCTTTAAGAAGAGGCACGTTAGTCCAGTATGATTTAAGGGTCATCTCACCAGCATCCAAGCAACTGTTCACATCTTTCCATTGTGAACAATTTCTTTTCTAACATATATAAAAACATAAGTATAAAAGTAGGATAAATTCACTTCAATGTACAGCTACTCAAGTCTAACTACTATTAATAATGTTTTATGTCAGATACTTCTTTTTCTATTTTAATAGGAAAGAAGCTAACAAGTGAAAAGCTGCAGGAAAGGCTGGTGAGCAGAACACAGATTAGTCATACTTCACAACTTTACCGAGACTCAGTCTGTTGGATATTAATTGGTTCGAGACAAATGGGGAGCTCTCCATGGCAGTTCTGAGTATAAATGATTATAAAACATTGTGTACATATCATGGTACCCATGAAATCTTCAGAAAACAACCAGTTTTTTATATACACCTTTGATCAGATAAAGAGTAATATAGGTAGAATTTCTCTAGAAACACACAAGCAAATCTATATATACCTATATGTTTTTTGATTAATCATATACATTAGAAGTCAAAGAAAATAAAGTAACACCATAACAACACATTTTTTTTTATTTTATTTCTCAACAAACAAGCCAGAAGAAAAAATTTACCATATTTGGAGTAAGATGTGTTTGGGACATGTCTTACAAGACAGTAAGCATCTCAGATAAATGACAGTAGAAGGAGAAAAAAAAAAAAAGAAGGTAGAAGACATAAATGCTCTGGAAGGGGGGGCCCCCCTGGTGGCGCAGTGGTTAAGCACTGGGCTGTGAAGCTGCCCACAGCCCTCTGCAGCGCTGGTTTGATCCCCGGCAGCCGGCAAGGGTCCCACATGGCACACAGACCTCTCCTGCCATGCCTACTGCTCCTCTCAGCAGTGTACTTCATCACTCTGCCTGTTCTGTTCCCTGCTCTGGCTCTGGTGAATTCTCTCACCCTCCCGCACTTCAGATTGTACCCAGTGCTTCTATAAATAAATAAATAATCTTAAAAAAAAATAAATGCTCTGGAAGGAATTATAAAAAACAATAGAGGAAGGAATAGAATTGCTAAAATAACCAGAAAATGTATGCGGTTTCAAGATAATGGAATATAAATAATTAATGGATTCTAAAAGAATGCAAAGTAAAGGAATAGTCATTTATGTGTTGAAAGATTTGTAGGAAGTCTGAGCCTTGAATGGGAATATAGTCAAATACAGTTATGTCAGAGGAAAATGGGCAAAGGCTATGATGATACATTAGAGAAGAAATAAATATATAGTGTGATCCTTGAGAGGAATTTAACAATTTTTCTACTTATCTATGTATGTACTTATCTATCCAGTTAATACTGATAATGAATAATTCAAAATGATATCAGCAGTAGCTTCTTTACAAATGTCATTTTTCAGGTTCTTAGTTCTATCCTTATCCACACCTGAAATTACTGTTAGCCCACTAATTCCTACTTATCTTTGAATTCTGAAAACAAGAACTTCTAAATCTGTGAAGGTAAAATGTTAACTATAGAAATAGCAAAAATAAATAAGAGCCAAAGATTTGTTTTATTTTGTATTGTTTAAATTGTTTTGAGCATGTTTCTTATAAGAATTTCAATATACCTAAGTTAGGGAGGAGAAATGATGAAATACATTTTGGAATTAACCATTATTATATGAAATTTTGATGTTGAAGACTGATGGTAATATCACCTATCTCAATTTTCCAAGTATTTCAAATTAACCCTACTTGAAAACAGATACAACAGAATTTTCCCCAATTCTCCAGTATCTGTTTTACTTCTAACTCTGAGATTACATTTCTCCATGTTATTTCTATAGCTCCATTGCCACAATAAATAATGGTGAGCCTGAAATACACAATGCAGTGACTCCATTAAGCAGAATATGGTTCCATCAGGTTTCCAGAAACCAGAGGCACTGATTTCAGAGGTACAATGGTGCTACCTCTGTTGGGAGAACATCTTGGGCATCTGCCATATAAAGCTTCATACATTGTTCCTTGCCTTTCTCTTGCTGAGTCTTTTCAGTAGACTCAAAGTCTAATAATAACCCTTCTAAATTTTCCCAAGCAATTTCAATCCTTTATTATTCTAATGACCCTTATTCACAAGCTATCTAATATATAACATTTATATGGTGGTAGATCATAACTTAACAGCAAACATTGACCTTTTTTGTAATAACTATTTCTCTCTTCAATAATGTTTGTGGCTAAAAATTTAGTCTCCATTTCCACACACCTCCTAGGGCCTTTATTGCTATTGTCAGTTGTCATTTCATTTTGATATGTAAGCACTATCCTTACAAGAAAAAAAAAAAGAAACAAAATGAAAGGATATCATAGGTAGTTTAAAAAGTAGAATTGTTTTCACTAGTTCTTATATTTTCTGGAGTATTAAACACACAAATTTCAATGAAGTCTTTATAGTTTTATTTCCATTTTATCTGCCTGCCTGTATAAGAACGTTTCAATTTTCAAAATTTACCCTAATTCTTAATTCTTTCTTGTCAAATATGTAGTTTTTAAAATAAGGAAATGAGCATTTGAAATAATTAGGCTTTGACACATAGGATCCAATCCAACATAATTAAGTAAAAATGAAGCTCTCAGAACGCTGCAGCCAATTTTTTGTTAATGGGGCACCATTTCTACCTTTCAAAACTATCAGCTAAATAACTAAGATTCTTAGAACCTGAGCAAAAATATGAGTCATAATAGTACTTTTTTAAATAGAGTCTAAGAAAAAAACTGAGTTACTGGATTAGGGTATGACTGAATTCCACTGGCATAAGGTCCTGGGCTCCAAATCTGTGTTCAAATCCCAGCTTTTCCTCTTACAAACTGATCACTTAGCCTCTCTATAGCATGGTTTTCTAAACTATACTATGATGCAAATAGTACCTATTGCAGGGTTTTTCTAAAAACTCAGTGAGGTAACAGAAAGACACTTAAAATGATGGCTGACACATAGTTAAAACTTAGCCCTTTGACCATTTTTATATATTATTCCATATATTATATTATTATTCAATGTGATGTTTTTCCCATGAGTGACCAGTTAAAACACTTCAAAAGTAATTACTTCCATCATTAAATTAATGTTAAAAAAAAACAATAAAGGAAAGAAAAGAAAAACTGTCTGTTAATTACTAGGGGCATTTAAGTCAACACATCAGTATGTGTTTCAAATAAAATGATAGTATTACTCAGATGAAGTAATAGAATCACCTCCTAACTAGTTATTGATTATGAAGAGAATTTGAGACTATGCGTGTGTTCAGCTTATATAAATATTTAATAAGAAAAATAAAAACACAAAACTCAAAATGACACATTTTTTAAAAATGCAAAACTCAAAAAAACACATTAAAAATATTTTTAGTTAGTAAAGTTATGTTTTTAGGAAGGGATCCTATTATTTGTTTTTCCAAATTATGTTTACTGTGGTAGAGCTGGTTTACATCTTTGTGTCTGCTTCGGGTTTACAGGTTCAAAATTCTACAAACGTATACCTTCATATCCTGTCCCAACAATCCTCCACAAAGCTTCACTGGGATCCCCTCTTACTCCCACCCCACCCCCCTCTTACTCCCCCCCACCCCCCTCTCCTTCCCACCCCACCCCCCTCTCCTTCCCACCCCACCCCCCTCTCCCTCTGGATGTAGTGGGATGTTAAGAGTTTATTATTGGTTTGGTTTTGACTGACCCTTGTCTGTTATATTTCTCTGTATTCCACATATAAGTGAAACCATCCAGTATTTGTCTTTTTCTTTCTGACTTACTTCACTTAGCATTATCCTCTCCTATTTTTAAACATCACTAACTTCTAAGTATTACCTTATATGGCTGAATTTCATACTCATTAAATGTTTATTGCAATGAGCCTGTGGTATCCGTGGCACTGATTTAGGGACACATTTTGGTCATTACTATCTCTTGCTGTTTGCCTGCAGTGAGTTCTCACATAATTAGGGCTGAATACACTGCACTTTTTAAAATTAAACCAAGCCTCTGGGAAAGAATCATGGAAATAGATGGTTAAAGGACACCCAGGCAATTAACAAGCATGATAAAGTTAAAAATTGAAGATAGGAAAGTAGGTTAAGAGCTTTTCTCTCTCTTTCCAACATGATTTGTTGATACAAAAGGAATAGCATCAGCTTCATTTTACATTGTAAAGAGATACAGAAGCTGTCTACATTTCAGTCAATAAGTAAATTCCTTTGCTATTTTCTAATAGATTTTTCTCTTTTAAGCACACAATTCTGAAATAATTCTCCACTGGACTTTTAGAACAAGTCTGAAAATATGTTGTTGAATCACAGTAGTGTAAACAATGAACTAAAAAGTTTTAAGTGTTAGAAGTCTGAGACAATTTTGCCCCAGTAGAGTAACTGCTTTTTACAAAAAAAAAAAAAAAAAAAAAAGGCAAAGCTATAGGTTATTTGTGATAATTTACCAAAAAGGTCTAAAAGGGAAAAAAGTAAAATCTTATAAATTTTAGCTGATGATTAAATCACATAGAATTAATGCATCTTTTTTCCTCTGGTGCTCTATTATTTCATACAATTTCCCTACTAATATTCTTTCCTCCATTAAAGTCACATCTTCATGTGTCTGTCGTTTTTACTAGCCTAAAAACCTCTAAAAAGACTGACTTGGTTTCATTTTACTTTTGTATATAAAGCACCTAATAGTTCCTGAAAACATACTCAATACTCAGTAAATATTTATTGAATGAGTGAATTCATCTGTATAATTCCATTTTTTGATAAACCATTATTTATTTTACTTACATATTAATCATTGATAGGTTAACAAAAAGAAAGTAAAAAGGGAACTTAATATTGACTAAACATTACCTATGTGTCAGGTACATTTGAAATATCTTATAACATTCTTAAGAAGTCATACTATTTTCTCAAATTTTACAAGTCCATTTAAAAGAGGTTGAGGACCTCGCTGGTGTGCAGGCGTTGAGCGCACGGCTGTGAACTGTCAGCAGCCTCTGCAGTGCCGGTTCGATCCCCGCCTGCCGTGGAGACACCCACATGGTAAGGCAGACCTCTCCTGTCTCGGGTGCTGCCCCCTCAGCAGTGTATTTCATCAGTCTGCCTGTTCTGTTCCCTGCTCTGTCTCTGGTGAATCCTCTCACCCTCCTGCACATCTGGCCTGTACCCCAATTCTTGTATAAATAAATCTTTAAAAGAGGTTGAACATTCTCTTCAAAGTTAAAAGACTTAAGTTTCTGAATGTTTTGATATTATATC